TTACTAACAATAATGTACTAACAATAAAGTAGCAGAAAGAAATTCGAAAAACAATACCATTTTCAATTGCATCAAAAATAATAAAGTACCTAGGAATAAACTTAACCAAAGAGCTGAAAGACTTGTACTCTGAAAAATATAAAACACTGATGAAAGAAATTGAAAATGACACAAATGGAAAGATATTTAATTCTCACAGATTAGAAGAATTAATATTGTCAAAATGTCCATGTTATCCAAAGCAATCTGCAGATTCAGTGCAATCCCTATCAAAATATCAATAGCATTTTTCACAAAACTAGAACAAATAATACTAAAATTTGTGTGTACCCACAGAAGACCCTGAATAGCCAAAGAAATCCTGAGAAAGAAGAATAATATGAGATATGGCTGTACTGATGCCATTTTGTTAACTGTATTCTGGCTGGTTTGTAGTTTCTCTGTGGTTCCTTCTCTCCTCTCTTGCTTTGTGTTTTGTTGCCTTTTGTTTGTGGCATACTTATATTCCTTCTTCCTTATCTTTTGGGTATCTACTATAGGTTGTTTGCTTTGTGGTTACCATGAGGCTTACATGCAAAAACTTGTAACACTTTATTTTATGTAGATAATATAGATAATAATTTAAGGTTGATCACAATGTAAAGTGCTACATTTTTGCTAACCCCTTGCACATTGTTTTTGATGTCATAGTTTACATCTTTTTATCATGTGCATCCCTTAATTATTAGTTATATTTTTAGTACTTTTGTCTTTTAACCTTCACATTAGCTTTACAAGTAATTAACCCACTACCTTTACTATATATTTACCTTTCCAGTGAGATTTATTCTTTCATGTTTTCTTGTTACTAATTAGCACCTTTTCTTTTCCAGCATAAAAAGTCACCTTCACATTTCTTATAAGGCTAGTTTGTGATAATAATGAATTCCTTTAGCGTTTGCTTATCTGTGAAACTATTTCTCCTCCAATTCTGTATGAAGACTTTGCTGCATAGAGTATACTTGCTGGGAAGTTTTTTCCTTTCAGCACTTTATGCCACTCCCTTCTGACCTGCAACGTTTCTGCTGAAAAATCTACTGATAGTCTAATGAGGTTTCCCTTGTATGTAACAAAAGTTGTTTTTCTCTTGCTCCTTGTAAAACCTCTCCTCGTGTTTAACTTTCAATGTTTACATTATAATGTGTCTTTGTTGGGGTCTCTTTAGGTTCATCCTATTTGGAACTCTCTGGGCTCCCTGATTCTGGATGTCTGTTTCCCTCTCCAAGTTTTAGGGAAGCTTCGGTCATTATTTCTTTTAAAAAAATTCAGTCCCTTTCTCTCTTCTCCTTTTGGGCCCCTATAATGTGAATGTTAGTCCAGTTTATGTTATTCTGTAATATCTTTAAATTTTTCCCCACTGTTTTTTCTTTTTATTGCTCTGTTTGGGTGAATTCCACTGCTGTGTTTTCAGGTTCACAGATCTTTTCTTCTGCCTTGTCTAGTCTTCTACTGAACCCTGTGGTGTACCTTTTCAGTTCAGTTACTGTATCCTTCAACTCTGTGACTTCTCTTTGGTATCTTCTTATATTTTGTATCTCTTGGCTGAAGTTCTGTGTTCACCCATTCTTCTCTTGAGTTCAAAGAGCATTTTTATGAATATCACTTTGAACTCTTTATCAGGCAAATTACTTACCTCCATACAGTAAGCCCCCCCCCCAAGGTTTTATCTTATTCTCTTGTTTGGAACATATTCCTCTGTTTCTTCTATTTTCTTGACTCTCTTGTGTTCATTTCTATGTGATAGATAAAGTCTTGAGAAAGTGGCCTTGTGTAAAAAATGAACCTTATCATTTAACTTTGCCCTAGGTCTTGGTTGTCCTTCAAAACTTGTGATTGTCCAAGAAGCCTACTTTAGTTTTAATAACTCCCAGTAGTTGAGGATGTTCCCAGTCCTGTCATTGTCCCAAAGGGAGGATCTCAGTCAACACCTAGATTCATGTTGACTGGAATCCAGACACTCAAGCAGTAGCTTTTAAAGTATACAAACATATATAGTCCTATGGGACTACAAGTGTAACCCTTCCTGGCCACCAGAGCCAGGAAATCTGGAGGTGTCCTGTGGGTTACAAAAACTAGGCCCTAGACAAATGCATCAGCTCCATTCTGGGAGATACTGGCAAGCTGCAGTGAGACAGAAGGGAAATAGAGAGATGGCCTCCAACTCAGAGAACTTTCATAGGTTCCTGGATGTGTGTCAAATGTGAATCCTGCCCCTTATGCCAAAGCTCCCAGAAAAGCAAATAGGTAGAGAAAAATTGTTTTAAAATGTTTTCCATCAAGATTTACAAAATGTTTAATCCCTAAAGTGTCTTCTGTACACTTAATAACTTCTTTCTTTCTCTGAGTATCACTTGCAAGGAAGCTGCTATACCACTGGTTTTAGCATCTACTCTCTTGCATTTTGTCTACCTTCTTTGTGGACACTCAAACTCTGGCTCCCAATTTGTGTTTCTGTAAGGACATAATTCCATGATTTTGGTTACTAATTATCAATTAAAGATGATACATTTCTGTCACTGCCCTAAAAATTATAAAGAAACAGTAGAGATCAAGAAAGGAGATTTTTGGGGGTGCCTGGCTGGCTCAGTTGGTGGAGCATGTGACTCTTAATCTTGGGGTTATGAGTTTGAGCCCCATGCTGGGTGTAGAGATTACTTAGGAAAAACAAGAGATTTTTAAAATGACTAATAAAATGGTCAAAAATACAGCAAAGCTGTTCAAGAAACAAAGATGAAATAGATAAATGATATTAAGGAAATTAGCTACAAATAACAATTTAGGTAATAAGTACAGATTTAATAAGAAATGGATAGCAATGGATTTAAAAACAAATGACATTGTTTATATAGGTTCCTTTTGCCTGACTTTGACTAATGTAATAAATTTTGAATAATGTAAATACAATGATATATATAAACATAGGTAGACTATAAGTGTAAACTGATATAATTATTTTGTAAAAATCTTTTGCATCACTTACTAAACCTTAACACATACACATTCCCTGGGACTTACCAATTCCACTCTTAGTCATACACCCAGCAGAAATGCATACATATGTTAACCATATATACATTCATAGTAGCCCTAATCATATCAGACTAAAAATGGAAACAACCTAGTTGCTTATCTAGAATAAAATGATGCCTACATTATGGCATGTTAATTCAAGGGAAGAGTATACAGCATTGAAACTAAACTGCAGCTACATTAAACATTAAATACTGTTTTTCTAGTATTTTGCTGGTATTATCTTTTGTTCTATATATACATGTTGACAACATCTGAAAAGATAATGCCAGAAAAATACTAGAAAAACAGTAAGTTGTTTAATTGATGGTGGTTCATTTCATGGAGAAAGTAAGGTGAATACATACTTTATAGTATATACAAGTGGACTCCAGGTTGATTTCTGACCTATATTTGAAAGTTCAAGATATAAAGCATATAAAAGAAAAAACAGGATAAATATCTTTGCAACTCCAGGTAGGAGAAGATTTTTCTTAAGTAAGACTCCAGGGGCACCTGATGACTTGGTTAAGCGTCTGACTTTGGCTCAGGTCATGATCTCACAGTTCCGTGAGTTCGAGCCCCACGTCGGGCTCTGTGCTGACAGCTGAGAGCCTGCAGCCTGCTACAGATTCTGTCTCCTTTTCTCTGCACCTCCCCCACGCATGTGGTTTCTCTCTCAAAAATAAATAAACATTAAAAAAAAGACTCCAAAAAATGTAGAAAGGACAAGGTCAAAAATGGAGGGGCAGGAGGGGAGGAATGATTTTGTTCAACAAAAGTCGGCCTTTTCTTAAAAAATAAAATATCCATGGACAAAGTTAATAGGTGAGTAGATGAGAGACAAGAAAATGATAACTCAAACTTTTTTTTAAGTAGGCTTCACTCCCGTGCAAAGCCCAACATGGGGCTTGAACTCACAACTCTGAGATGAAGACCTAAGCTGAGATCAAGAGTTGGACATTCAACCGACTGAGTCAACTAGGTGCCCTGATAAATGAAACATTTAAAACCAATACTCAACTAATGCAGAGAGTGGAATGTATATAGCACTCTATAAATAAAAAAGAAAAGGGCATAAATTAAATGAAAAATGGGCAAAAGGTTATGACCAGGCAATTCAGAAGAGAAGCCTGTGTAAATATGGTACGAGATGCTCAAAGTCACCTGCCATCAGAGAATTGAAAATAACAGGAGTGATAATCTATTAGCACATACAAATGACGTTGGTGAAAAACAGAAAATTCAGTAATACCAGACTTTGGTGAAGATGTGCACTAGGTGAGAGTAGAAATTGTGATTGCCATTTAAGAAAATTCTTACAGAATTTAGTTAAATTAGTTATATTAGCTGTCTGCTTTCCCTGTGACCCAGCAACCATAACTGAAAAATGTTTGCACAGACCCATAGAGGACATGTAGAAGGGCATTCTTCACAGTGTTATTTGTGGTGATAGAAAGCCATGTGTCCATCATTAAGGGAAATATATAAATAAAATAAAGCCACACACACACTAGTAAGCAGGCAGCATTCAGAAGAAATGAACTAGACAAAGTACTGAATAAAAAAAGTAAACAGAGAATGACATCTACAGTTTTGGTGACCATATATCCTGGTTTGTCTAGGCAGTTCCAATTCATACCTGCTGTCCCAGCAGAAATATTAATATCTTTCATTTTCAATAGTTTATACAATACATTGTATAGGCATGTTACTTGTGAATATTAAGTCACAAAAACACACTCAAAACCACACTATTTATTTTTGCTACATACACATTTAAGGACATTCATTGGCAGGGGGATTTATGTTAGGATGATAAATGAGACAAAGGAAATGAAATAAAAATAAATGAATGATACTTCGGTATACAACTGAGTATAAAATACTGCTCTTTGCTCTAAGGTAAAAAATAATTCTTGACTATAGTTTGAAAAAAATTAAACACTTACAGTACTTCTGGTACTAAAAATGCGGTAGTTTGGGCTGTTACTGGAATACCTGTGGAGGAAAAGGTGGAATATAAATATTAAAACTAATTTCTCCTCCAAATAAGAGGGATTCTACAGTAAACCCTGAAGCCGACATAAGGGCCGAAGGACGTTCTGTGTAGGACAGAGATGATATTCAAGAAATGGAACTGGAAAATGGATCTGGATTCATACGGAGAAAGAAATGATTCCAGATCATTGTAGATCATTAAAGAAAGCCAACTCCAATGTGATAATAAATGTCAAAAGCAAAATGTCAATGATCTTAGTAGGAAATCTGGGCAAATATCTCTTCGACTTTGATGAAAGGAAGAATTAGTTAAATTAGACATCTACCCTGAATTTTGCCTGCAACTTTGCCTTCACTAATTATCTCAATGAAATTTAGCATTCTCGGCAATTACGAATGTAGATCAGGGGGTGGCAAACCATGCCTTACAGGTCCATTTCTACCTGTTTGTTTTTAAAATAAATATGCATGCACACACAGCCACACCCACTGGTTCACTATTGTAGGGGTGTGCGTGAATCCCTAGGATAGCAGAGTTGCCTGCATCACCTGGAAAGCCCAAAGTATTTACTATCTGACCCTTCACAGAGAAGTTTGGTGGTCTCTGGGGTACAACGTAAAGTTGATAAACACTTAGAATTCGCAGGCCGTCCTTTATAATATCCCCTATCCTTATTTATCGATCCATTGTTTGCCAGGTCTCTGCTGGGAGCTGAACATAGCTTTGCATTCAAGCCTCACGACCACCCCACGACACAGGTTGTATTTTCCTCACCTTACAGAGGAAAAAAATAGAAGCTACAAAGTACTAGAAGCCATCAGCCCCCTAGTCATTCTACGTGCCCTCGCCCCCTGCCTCCGCTCCCCGGGGGTGACTCCTGGGTCCCGTTTGCACCACTTGTCTTCTGGGAGGAACCAGAGCTCAGCAGGAGGAAACGCGTTTAGGGGTTCGCGGGGGCTCATCTGTCCCCCGGCCAGCCAGCCGCGCGAAGTCCCCGAGACCATGGAGTAGCAGAGCCCTAACGCCCCTCCTCATCCCCGCCCCCGTTCCTGGAAAACTGGCGGAGGGGGGCGGCGGGGCGCCGGGGCCGGGGGCTGGGGCTCCAGACGCTGGTCCGCAGGCGCGGGGGCGCCCCCGCCCGGTGTCCCAGGGCGCCGCAGGCGTCTCTCTACCTCCACAGGGCCGAGCCGCAGCAGCTCAGCCACGACAGCAGCACCGCCACTCCCTGGGCCGACATGGCGCCGGGGTCGCGTCGCCCCAACCGCCCGGGGCGCGCCCGCCCTGCCCTCGCGCGCTCCCCGGGAGCGCGGGCCGCCCGGCGGAGGCGGCGCCGCAGGGCGGGGTCGGCCCCGCGCGCGCGGGGCAGCGCGTGTGCGCATGCGTGCTGGCGCGCGCCGCTACCTGCGCTCTCCCTGAGCTTGGTGGTTGGGAGAGGAAATGTAAAACCAGACCGGAGGAAAGGCAGAAACCATGCTTTTTGGGAGTGAAATAGCAAAACCAGCTCGGAAAACCCCAGCTGACTGATCGAAGGTGAAGCTTTTAAGTGACTGCATCTTTTCGCCCAAGTCTTCATTGTGACAGTATATAAATATTGTAATAGCAAATACACGTCTGGCAGTGCTCTCCAGGATCCAGCACTCCTAAGGTGGTTTTTAAGCTCCACAGAAATGAACAATGACGGGGACTCATTGAGAACCTACTTTAGGCCCGACGCCACCTCGTGCACTTGAGTACAAAGAAATATGACAGCTTTCTGGTTTTCAAAGGGGTTTGTCATCTTGTAAAACTAAGATAAACAAATACCAGATGTCAGTTTTCTAATTTATCTGTGTATTTGTTGGTACACCAAATAACCTGAGTCCCTGAGTCCTGCAACTATCTTTCCTCCTCCTCATGTCCTCAGCGCCCAGTACTAGAGTTTGTACTAGGTCCTCAATGTTACCGACAACGGATCATTATGTAAAACTAGTATAATACTAAAATACACTCTAGGTACCACTAGAGAACGTGATTGTGCGTATAGGATATATATACGTAGTAGACATTGCATTTAATGCGACTCTATTCGCACTTTTTTTTCCGAAGCAACTTCATATCAGAATTACAGGTCATAGTTAATTTCAAAAGCTAACCGCAACTGAAACACGAAGAGGAGTGGAATATACAAAAAAGGCCTGGGCTCTCTTGGTACCAATTCACTAACATTTCAATCCTACAAAATAAGGTCAAGAGAGTATTACTTACCTTACATGGTTGTGGGGATTAAAAGAGTTAAGTGCATCACAGTATCACAGTATTTGGCACAAACTATACATCAGTATTCTCCTCTCTGAGCTTCTGTTACTAATGTGTAAAATGAGAAGAGTTAGAACTTTACTTGATCTCTAGATGTTCGGTTCTAATGTCCTCTATTGCTCTACTTTTGAGTTTGCCCTTTTTGATCCTTGTCCCGTCTCCTCCAGGTCTTTCTTTCCCAGTTCTTTTTTTTTTTTTATTTTTATTTTTTTATTTCTAGGAGAGAGAGAGAGACAGTGTGAGCAGGGGAGGGTCAGAGAGAGAGGGAGTCACAGACTGAAACAGGCTCCAGGCTCTGAGTTGGCAGCCAGCACAGAGCCGGACGCGGGGCTCGAACCCACGAACCGCGAGATCATGACCTAAGCGAAAGTCGGACGCTTAACCGACTAAGCCACCCAGGCGCCCCTTTCTTTTCCAGTTCTAAATCTATACATTCCAACTCCATCCTATTTGTATTATGTAATTCCACCCGTGAATTTCGCACACGCTATGTCGTCCCTTAATAGAGACGAGTCGTTAAAAAAACAATTCGAAGATGAACGTCTGCAGACGGCAAAACACCATGGCTTCAGAAAACGTCGCCTCCGCCCAGAGCGTTGCATGCCGGGAGCTGTAGTCCGACGCTCGAGCACGCACCTCCGCGCCTCTCCAGTTTGAAACGCGGGAGAAGGGCGGGTAGGCGGGGCGATGCGGCGAAGTGCGCTCGAAGCCCCGCCCCTGCCCCTTCCTCTCGCAGGCTCCCTCAGGGGTGGTGCGCCAGGCTGCGGAAGGGGCGTGGCCTCAGTCCCGGGTGGCGGCAACCGCCGCCGCCGGGGCCTCTTCCTGCCGGCGGTGCTGCGGCGGCCGGCCTGCGCGGGGCAGTCATGGTCGCCCCTTGAGTGGGCTGTGGCGGGAAGCGGGGCGGGGCCTGGCTGGAGGGGGCGGCCCGGCGGGGGCGGGGGCGGGGCCGGCCTCTGGCTCGTTCTTCCTCCGCATGTGGCTGGCGGCCGCAGAGCCCTTCAGTCCGCGCACTACTCGCAGTCCGCGCTCCTTCGGGCTCTCCTCGCGTCATCGGAGCCATGGCGTTCTCCGAGAGCAACCCGGCGGCATCCTCCCTGCCCAACGGCGACTGCGGTCGCCCCGGGGCGCGGCCCGGGGGGAACCGGGTGACGGTGGTGCTGGGCGCGCAGTGGGGCGACGAAGGCAAAGGCAAGGTAGTGGATCTGCTGGCGCAGGACGCCGACATCGTGTGCCGCTGCCAGGTGAGGCGAGCGGGCTCTGACGCGAAGCCGGGGCCCGGGAGCGCGGGCGCGGAACCCGGATCCGTCGTCCAAAAGGAGGTGTCACCTTGAGGTGCTCTCTTGCTCGGAGCGGCGGCGACGTGGAGAAATGGCGGGAGGTCAGAGACCCCCCTGACCCGACGGGTTGGGGGTGGCTCCGGAGGAAAACGGGGGTTGAAGGGGCGCCGTTGAGAGACGCGCGATGCCTCGGGAGCTGCCGTCCTCAGCGTGGGGGGCAGTGGCCGGCGCCGGGGGTGGGGCCGGGGTGGGGACGGCATGCGGCCCGAGTTTGAGGAGCCCCCGCCCGAGGCCTTCTCCCGACTCCGGGCGGAGACCCCGCGCGGCCGCAGCCTCCTCCCCCCACCCCAGCCCGGGGAGACCGGGTGGGAATGGGTGGTTTCGAAGCGCCCGGAAAGCCGCTCGCCGCCCCCCCCCCCCGCACCTGCGGGCCCCCTGCGTGCAGACCTTTGCCTCCTCGCGTCCACTTTGTTGACACGAACGCCCGGCCTCCGGGCTTCGCACCGTTAACGGCCCCGGGGTTTGACTCCGCACCCCGTGTATTCATATTAAGGGTAGATTGTTTTTTACTTGCCGGTCCCAGAGGAAAGAATCCTCGCTCCTTTACGCGCGAGGCAAGTAAACACGCGGATGTCAAGCGTGGGATTTAGAAATATTTACATTGTTACGCTCACAGGGAAAGTGAACTTTCGGGAAATGGAACGGTAATGTACTTCCTACGGGGAGACACGTGGTGTTCAGTGTAAGCTTTCTTCTGATTTGTCGGCTGCTTTGAAGCAGCCTCTAGGCTGGGTAGAGGCTCTTAGATAACTATTACCAGTTTCAAAATTCGAAGTAGTTGGGCAATAGCCACTTTCAAAACAAATTGTCATGTATTTGAAATTAACTGCTGTTTACCTCGCCGGAAGGCCCCTTCCTTCCTCGTGAAGGGTGTGACGGTGCCGGGCTGTGTTACGTTGTAACAAGTTAGTAGGCCCAGTTGATTGAAAGCTTTCTACCTGAATAATGTCATTTGAGCAAGCGGAAACTGTCATCTTTTAGGAAGAGCTAAATGCAGATATTCTGATTTGTCGTGTTTTGGTTTTGTTTGTTTACTGTTTTTTGCATGCAGAAACTCATCCTGCCCACTCCTTAGCTAAGACAGTGTCTTAGCATGGCCACTTAGCCCCACCACTACCTCTCTCCACCTTCAGATCTCTCTTCCTCCATCCCTCTGGCGACCCACTTACCTTACTTACTTACCTACCTTCCTCCCAAGCATGTTTACGTGAAAGCCCTGCCCCATATTGCCTTAGGAGCTGCTCCCAAAGCCAGCTTTCGCCTTGCTTTTGTCTTAAAATCAGATCTGGCCATGCTAGAGGGAAACAAGTATGAGAATACCTAACTCTCTCGCTGGGTAGAAAGGGAGAGAGGCTGGGCCTCTTTGTCCCCTTCCGTGTCATCCCTGTGATCTTCCTTACCGGGGAAATAGTAATGCTTAGGCTGGGTAACACTGGGTTGTAAGAAGGTTTGGGGAATGCAACGATCAATGGCATTTATTCTAAAAAATCCTTGATTTCAATATTTCCTTGAAAATTAGTAGAATCAATTTGTAGACCTGAGAAGGTGTTTCTGTGTTATCGTGAACGTCCTCTTGAAAAAGGTCATGGACCAATCTCATCTTATGCCCTTGGAAAGCCTAGAGAGAAGTGACTGGAAGGAGCCAAGTTTGGCTTTAAACTGTTAGTGGAAGATAGAGGAGGAACTTTTGAGCAGACCTGTTAGGCAAACTTTTGTCGCCTGTCAACTCTTGACTTACTGCCATCCTTATATAATTCTAAAGTCTTCCTGTACAAGTGCCTTTTAACAGCTCATCATTGGAAGGACTCTCACTAGTTTTGCTAGTGAAAGTAGTTACGTAATGAATAGATTTAAGCATCTCTCTTGTGATTCACCTTGGTAACTTTATATTATTTGGTCAGCCCTAGTAAGCTGACTCCTACTTGATGAAGTTCTCCTGGCTTATAAAACTGAAGAATATGGAATGTTGACATTCCTAGGGAGTGTATATAGAGCACTGGGAAAAGTCAACGTTAGAAAGACATTTTTAGCTTAAAAATGCCTTGTTTGGTGATTTAAGTTTTGTGTATTACTAGAAATCTGTACTTCGCTAGAACTTAGTATGTTTTTTGTGGTCATATTCATGCCATGAACTCAGATTTTATACAGATTGTGTCTCTAGAAGTAGATACAGATAATGTGTTCATGGTTTGACAACGGAATCATAAAGGAATTTTTTCCCATTTAAAATAAAGTTTTTAAAAGAAAAACTGACATTGCATTTAACTGTAAATATATCAAATGCCTTTTTTGGAAAGAATAGATGCAAAGCTAGTGGCATTTTCATGAACACACTTGAGGCCTATATTTCAGATTCAGGATTTATGCGGAGTTATTTCTAATTTGGTAAATTCTCTAGATTCGTAAATAAATGTGGAGGGCTTAACATCAAAGAACGACCACTACTGATATCTTAATTTTAAGTTGATGTCTTTTAAGGAAAAGCAGTAAGTATAAGACCAACACCAGGCATATTTTATTTATCCAACAATCACCTAATGAGTGTTTTCAGGGCATGAAGGGGAAACCACTTCGTCCCAGAGTCCGGAAGCTGAGAAAGGCAGGAACTGTGTCCACAAG